CTGCTGCGCAAGGACATGTGCCACTGGTCCAAGGGCATGCAGATCCGCTACAACCTGAGCCACCTGGAGCAGTGGACGCGCGACATGCGGCTGCACGAGGCGGGCGTCACGGACACGCTGGCGCCCATCATCCAGGCGGCGCAGCTGCTGCAGGCGCGCAAGACGGACGACGACGTGAACTCCATCTGCGACATGTGCGACAAGCTGTCCGTCTCGCAGGTGGGTGCCCGGCCGCGGGGGCAGGGGGCCGGGGCGCTGCCTCTTCGGATATCGATGTTGCGGTTTTTTGTTATGATTGATGGTGATGGTAACAATAATTATGATAAATGAATATAATTTCTATTATTATTATCATGATTATTATTGTTTTCATTTTGATTATTATTCATTTCTTATTGTTATCATCATTAATTTTCACTTAATAAAAAAATGGTGTATGACTTATTGTTTCATTGTTTTAGAAGAACATTTTATAATATGTGAAAAATATAGGTATTAGTCACATAAGTTATTTGCTATGCTATCATTTGAAACCACATGCAAATTATATGCAAATTCTCTCAGTAGACTTGTGGTCCTAAACAATTTTCTTGCCATTCTGCAACAGATCATCAAGATTTTGAACCTGTACACTCCGGCGGATGAATTTGAAGAGAGAGTCCCTATCTCCTTCATCCACAAGATCCAGAATAAGTTGCAGGAACGAGCGGAGGGTGAACAAGCGCAGGTAAGTTATGCGATTGATTTAAAGTGTCGGGGTGGGTGTGTTTTACGTGTAGCAGTTTGTGTATTTTGAGACTGTGCTTTGATGTGTCAGTGAGATGAGGATTGGTAAGAAAGATATGTTATTGATGAATGGTGATTTTTTTCATGTTTATATTTGTCAAAAGTGTTTGCAAGAGGTAAAGGAACAATGAAGTGGAGGTGTTTGCATCTATACAGAACACAAGTGCCTATTTTGTGGAATTTCATTGAAATGTGATACTGTATCACCCATACACAATATTGTTTTGAGGATGAACATGCACTGCCAAGAGTAATATCTACTAATTTATTTTTTTCCATCTTTTTCAGGCAACACTATTGATGAACACCAAATTTGCCTTCCCTGTCCGGTTCCCATTCAACCCATCCAGTATTCACTTGGAAGATATTGAGCTTCCAGAATCTCTCAACCTCGTTATGTTGAAGAAGGTCTAAAAGAACCCCCAGTCACCAACTCCACACACATGAGAATGAAACAACCTGATGGAAAAATAAAGGCTTTTACTTTGTCCTTTCCAAGTCAATCCAGCATGGTTGTTTGAGATGCTGAGGTTGTAGGGAGAGGAGATAAGAAACAAAGGGTTTCCCAGTAAGTGTGTGAAGTCTGGGATGGAGTCCGGCCCTGTTGCATGGTCTGTTTTGATGGCTGAGACTGCTTAAAGGCAAGGAACTCAGGGTGGGACAGCCCTTTTTTTCCAGATCCATGCTGAGTCAGGGCCACCAAGGGCTGGATTTTGAAACTTGTTAAGAGTTTCAGGTATAGTTTCCAAAATTTAAAAACCAGATAGTAGCTCAATAGCATTTACATGCAGTACTTAAACCTGAAGGCTTTCAGAATGGTTACATTTGTACTATGGCTTTTGTTGTACATGTAATGTAATGAAGAGGAAAGAAAAAAAAGTGAATTAGTTCTGGTTATTACAGCCTTGCTTATAATCAGTTTGACTTTTGGTTGAGACATATCTGGCAGTATGGATGGTTGTATGGGTGGGCTTTCCGATGCTTGACATTTGTTTGTATTATATAGATTTCTCTTTCTCTGTGTCCAGAAACAGGATTAACTCACCCCAACAAAAGAAAATATTGGTATTAAACCCCCCAAAATATATCCTACTGCAGCCTTAGAATTAAAAAAAAAAGTATTTTTGTTTATACATGTAATTTTTAAACCGGTAAAAACCTCCTCATAAGAGTTGCATGGACACCCCACTTTGGGCGACTCAAGGAAAGATAAAAAGGAAATACTATATGATATATACATTCCATGAGCATATTCCAGTGATAAATAGCATTCCTGTATTTAGGACCAGTCACAGTACCTAAGACAGCACCATTGTATATTTACTTTGTGCAGCACGAAGCAGCAAAGAGCAGTTACTGTGTGTATAACTGTTTTAACTTTGGTTCTAGTGTGTTGTAAACAGTTGATGCTGTAGCACTCTAAACACATTCCATGACCTCTAGTTGAACATTACTGTAGTGTAATATATGGTTAATAGTGTTATTTATTTATTGTATAGATGTTCAGAGTTTAACATATGGCATAGTTCATATATTGTAAGATTCCATAGACTATCCTGATATCAGAAGGAGAGAAGAAAGTGGATGAATTGGTTTATGGTGTAATTATTGACATTTATTTTATGATTAATAGGGGTATTATTATTATTATTATTGTTATTATTATTATTATTATTATTATTATTTTTATTGTAATCATTATTATTGTTATTATTATCATAAATCATCATTAATACTATTATTGTTATTCTTGTTATTATTATTATAACATTTTTATTCTGATCATCATTGAAACTTCAGCCAATAACTTTAATTAACATGACTAATATGTTTATTTTTATACATTTTTATTTTCTTGTACTTAATTAAATTACAGTACATTCCATAGGGATCTGTTGGTCATAATTTCAATGGCTAATAATAAGATGTCATTTTCTGCATCTCATTTAGTCCAAAATTTGCATTGCTTGGCATACAAAGTTTTTGTTGCATACCTCAAATATTTTTACAGTAAGTGCATAGGAAAAGAAAACTTTTTTATGTAAACACATAATCAACATTGGGCAAAAACTCCCGTGAAGCCCCACCCAAAATCCCAAGTTCTCAAGTTTTGCATGCTTTGTGTATATATCATACATTTTCTGGAAGGGTGAATATTCTAGCATTTAGGGTACCCCACAAGGGCTGTTATTTGGTTTCAAAGAGGTTTGGATGCTAACTTCGGCTTTTGAATACTGTCATTTTGCCGGGCTGTGGTAGGTAGTGGCAGAGGTAGTTTGACAGATTTTGACCCCAGGTTAGGAAGCCATCTGAGAAATGAGAACACCTTTAGTATTCGGGTACTATCACCCTGTACAGTATCATATGCACGATTAGCATCATCACATGCTTGTATACTGGTTCAGGTGTACAATGTGACCATAGTTAACTCTATATTAACTTGTGTGGTGCAGAAGCTATTATGTAGCTTTACTTTCATGGTTCTGTATAGCAGATGCTGGCTGCTATTATTATTATAATTATAATTATTTATGCTTCAATTATTGTTTTTGATTATTATGAATTATGATTCATTATTATTATGATTACTACTAGGTTTTGAGGCCTTTTTTTATACCATTTTTTATGTTTGCCAGTTTGCCCAGATAAATGAAAAAAAATTCTTGATCAGTGCCAGGTACTCCTTGGTGGGGATGATACAGGCCTCAGTGACTTAATTTTGAGTAGTGACATAAGTTATTGAGATATTTATTTGTGGTTTCTGACACTGCAGAGTAGGTGCCACTTTGAAGTTTTTTTTTATTGTACGGAAAGAGATGACAGTTACTTTTTGCACAGCAAGGACAGGTAACTGAGGTGCCACATAGATTGTTTGTGAAGAAATGATAACTTTGTAATGAAATTTGTGATCATGGCCGACATATTTATTGAATTTAAAGTCACTGGTTTGAATTGAAGATCATCTGTTTTGTATTTTAATCCTTTTTTTCTTTTATATGCATAATGTAAACATGGTATAAATCATTATGTCACAGAATGCTTGGTTGATTTTTTTTTCTTTTTTTTGTAGTGCATACAAGTATATTATGATATTTTTGTTCTGTAAGCTTCCTTTTAAATGTATTTTGTATGATAAAAATGTAGAAATGCAAAAGGCTGTTTTCAGTGTGTTTTTATTTCTGCTGAATGATTTTCATTGTATATAGGTAAGATCTGATTTTCACCAGTGTTAACTTTATTGTGTGTTGCCTTGTGATTAAGAAAAGAATGTTGATTCAAAGTAAATAAATGCAGACATGTTACTATGGAATTTTATTTTCATTTCCCTTGTAGTTCTTTTATGACTTATGTCAAATGTTTATAAGCATGAGAGGAATATAAGCATGAGTTCTGAATTGAAAGTCTTCAACTAGGTTACTTCAAGCATGAGGTGTAAGCGTTGGCTGGTCTATGGTCCTGCCAGATGTACCTCATAATCCAGCACAAGGGCCTGTTACCAAAGGCATCTAGACGAGATTCCAAGGCATCGGATAATGGCCAGGTTCCATTTCTAATGAGGAAAACTTGCAGTATTAGGGCCTTGAAGGCACTTAGCTTGCTCCTACAGAGATTCCAGCATATCTAAATACTTTATACTTTTGATGAGCGAATTCATGGCACCTGCTGCCGGGCCAGTCCGTCTGCTGACTTACTTATCTGACAGCCCAAAGTCATGAACTACACTAGCAAAGTATGTAAAGCTCTGTGACCAACATCCTCGCCGCAAGCCCATATTGACTAAACAGCTTCTAACAGTCTCCAAGCGTCTTGTATCTTCATCTTACATACCTTTAATATCAAGTCTAATGCTGTAAGTAGTCTATGACAAAACTCAGAGCGCCAAGATTGTCTATTATGGACTTGTAGGTAGTATATTCGGCCTCTGGTACCTCAGTAGGTGATCTCTGATATGTTTTAGAAAGCTGTGAGCGAGAACCTTGCTTTGTATACTGAGCAGTGTGATGCCACGGTCATTGCTCAGTCCCAACGATCCTTTTTCCCATTCCAGAGAGAGAACCACACCCCTCAGCAGGTCTTTGGGAATGGTACTGGGCTACTGGATAGCAGCTAGGACAGCATGCAAAGCCCGCGCACCAAGTTCTCCGCCAGTCAACAGGGATGCCACAAATGCCCGTTGCTTTACCACCCTGCAGCTTGGAGATTGCCACTTTAACTTCCAAACAGGGTAGAAGTTTCCTCGCCGATGGGTGGGTCCGGCAATGGGATCACGACGGTACTGGCGCCCAAGTTAACTGTTGGTAGAACAACCTGGTAAATTGCTCAAAGTAAAAAGCTCAACATCCACATAACCCAACACAATATAAGAAGGTCCGTGACCTCTAATGCCTCCTGCGGAATTAAATTCTGCCTTTCTTTTGGACGGTCGCCAGCGGACTCCAGAGGTCTGTCAAGTGTTTCGAGCTTGAAGTGATCCCACAGTCTTACAGGGTCCGCCAGTTTGCTAAGTAATGCGAGACGATCAGAGATAGCGCCAGCAAACCTCCCGGCACACTCTTCCTCCCTCGATCTGTCCAAGTGAAAAAGCCTGGGTTCGATACAGGAACAAACATTTTTAAGTGAACTAAGAGCCACGACCGATCTTTGGTCGGTACCACAGAATTAGATAGACCCTGCAGTTCTTGCGGATCCTACAGCGAATGCTAACGATGATGTGGACGATCTCTATAACCACATTACCCGTATTGGTGCACCATGCCCAGCGATGCTGGTACGAGGAGTAAAAAAATCCTCAAAATCTAGGGCCTTAAAGAAAAGTTCAATGCGGTATCCAGCTATGATCGAGCATCATAGCTGGATACCGCATTGAAGTCACGTAGAACAACGTGCATCAAGTTTGCAAAAATCGGTAGGAGTGTATAAAGCTATAAGATCCATGAATCCAAAGCATGGTTCAGTCTCTGTATCACTGACTACAGAAGGTTAAACCCCTAACTACAACGAGCTCCTGTTTGGCACCCCGCACTACTTTAGGTTAAACATCGAATTATCGCTGTCACATCACAATTGGCCAATAGCTCTCATTTACGAAAGAGAAATGTTGACTCTTGCTTAAAAATGATTTTGAGACGATTAAACAGTGAGAAATCTGTTTGTACACAGTATTCTATAAACCAGTTCAAAAATATTTTGTCGTTTTTAATGAAATGGGAATGGAATATTACAAAAGCTGTTGCTTTAATAATTATTATCAGTCCCTATCCGATTCTGTCACCCGTATGCAATTACTACACCATAAAAAATCGAGAAAGTTTTCCCGCCAAACCGTCCAAAATAAAAACATTCCTCAATCCCATACGAGATCGTGGAACAGAGGTATATACATACATATATAATCATATGTATGTAAATATGTATATATGCATATATATATATATATATATATATATATATTATATATATATATATATATATATATATATATATATATATATATATATATATAGTGTGTGTGTGTGTGTGTGTGTGTGTGTGTGTGTGTGTGTGTGTGTGTGTGTGTGTGTGTGTGTGTGTGTGTGTGTGTGTGTGTGTGTGGAAATATATATATATATATAATATATATATATATATATATATATATATATATATACATATAGGACAGAAAGGGAGAGAGGTATATCCATGTGTGTATATAGGTACAGATAGGTAGATGAACAGACAGATTGATAGATATATTCCGAGTCCATTCCCGGATCATATGAGTTTTCTGGCTCTGGCTGACAGGATTCCTCTCAAAACACCGCTGTACCTTAGCCAAGGCACTCTAATATCCAGTCCCATTGATATGTATAGTTATATCTCGTTTTATGAATTAAAACTGCCTACCAACAAAACTAACGATCTCATGTGGATTAGAACCTAAGCATTCATTTAAGTACAAATGCAAGCGGATAACCCATGCATAATTTTTTTTTTTCTATACATGGCTGCAGAAGATGAAGCTTTTCTTTGAATTTTGTGTCGCATACAAAATATAATTTTCATTACAACAGAAACAATCACAATCCATTAAAGACTGTCAGTGACGCCTTTTCCTTCCAGTTATTGCACGTTAAAGGGCACGCATATAGGAGAGTGTGGTTTAGAGCTTTTATTTATCTTGATAATTTATTTTTATGGTTATACATGTTTTGCTGTAGATTCAGTATTTCAATGCAATTAACAGCAACAAGAACAACAAACATTCATCAAGTTCAATTTGGCAGCTAGTGAAGATTGTTACATTTGTCCATCTTTGTGCATGAAAAAGAAAATATTATGCCTACATGATTCATCATTTGGATAGAATATGTTCTCTTTGCAGTTGCCATTTATTCTGTTGTCATTTATGAATCATTTATTAAACCACAGAACTTTCATAAACAGAAGAATAAATTCATCTCACAGGTAGTACCAATGGCTTTCAGAGAAAGAGAAGAAAGCTCCAAATTAAGAATCAAAAAGGACAATTCGATTTTTATGCTCTTTAGTTTCTCTTAGCTAACAACGAGATCTGGAATTCAAATATAAATACCTAATTTGCTTATATAGCTATATGAGGTATAAATAGGCTTTACACACACGCGCGCGCGCGCACGCGCACACACACACACACACACACACACACACCACACACACACACAACACACACACACACCACACACCACACCACACACACACACACACACACATACGAAAAAAAGTGAAACAAAATGGTCTATTTTGAACATTTTCAGAAATGTTTCTTGCAGTTGAAAAATATTAACTAAACTTCATTTTCGAGTTCTGCATATCAAACTTTTTTTTTTTTTTTTTTTTTTTTTTTTTTGGGGGGGGGGGGTAATAAAATACTTTGTATTTTTCCATGTGTTTACTAAAGGCATATTTTTTTCTTAGACATTCACTGGCAACTGTATTGGATAAGGTTTTCGCTAAATTGCAACACAAATTCTGCCCTCCTTGTGTTCCCTAGAGTTGTATAGTTTTTCGACACGGATAGGGTATGCCGCAGAAGGCTTAATGAACGAAAGCTTCCTTCATAGTTAGCAACACGGTGCTAGAGCGGGCAAATAGTGGTTTATGATGTAGCATCCGACACTTTGCCTTCGATCTCTAGAAGCTGTGAGCATCAACAAAGCTTTACAGAATATCTAGGAACCTTTTCTGACCTTGTTCTCTGACCCAGAAAACAAGGTAAAAGTTAACAGTTAACAGAGCTTTTGCCTGAATTATATCATTGTACAACTTTATCATAATTAACATAACATCTACGCAGGGGTAGGTCCAGAGAATTTTCTGATGGGAAGCACAGGGGGCAACAACAATAAATCTGGGGGGTGGGAGCCCAAAAGTATCAATAATTAAGGCTGCCCACTTCAATATGTATATTATACAGTTACACATTGTTTATGTTTTCATATTACTGAATGTGTATTATATATATTAATATATACTAATATTATATATATTAGTATATATTAATATTATATATTGCTCTAAATTAATTATATATCAATATATATTAATATTACATTAATATATAAATATTATATATCAATACTTAAATATTATATATATTAATATATAAAGGGTCAATGACCGTTTGGGGGGGGATACGCGGGGTCGCCAATGATATTTCGTGCCACCATGGAAGCCCCGCCGCCTCTGCATCTACGGCTATCAGTTGCAATAATCAGCTTAAAACAATTTTACAGGAACGAATGACCTAAAAAACTCAACAATTATCATCATATAAGTAAAAATTTTACATCAGACCGATGAAAATACATGATTTACTTCTGAAAAAACACGACTACCAAACAACATTTCATAAGCATGATGCTTTCAACACCGACTAACAGGGGTAATACGCTAGAGACATCTATGAGAATTAAATGCAGTTAAGAAAGTTAAACCCCATGGTTCAGTGTACCCCTATGTTCAAGCTGTCTCACTCTCCCGCACATAAAATATTGAAACATATAAATCATTTAGACAACAATTTAAATATGATTTTGCTGAAATTGACGATAGAATATAAAATACAAAATAGCTGCCACAGAATCCACACCCTCTAACGGTGATGCCTGTGACCCTCTTGGTGCACCCCATCTCCTTGGTGCAGACTGGATCCGCTTCTAATGATTATGACATGCGTGATACTTCCCCACTTAGACAACAAATTCATAAATTCAAGTATAATTTGTATTGCAAATTATACACTGGTAATTATCATTAAAACCCTCAGCCTTCAAACTTTAAGGAA